CCAAACCCACTTCTACTCTCCCACCCTCCCCCACTCACCTACACCCACTCCCGCCCTCTTCCACCCCCCTTTACCCTCTGCTGTCCGCCTACGCCCACCCTCGTAATCCCCTGAAGTAATCTGGGTGCCGCCTCTACACCGATGGTCCGACCTAAAAGAAAGTCAGGCTCATAGATACTCTCGAGGGCGTAGGTCAATTGTGTATGTATAAGTATATGTATATAGTATGTTTATGTATAGTATGTTTATGTAGTATGTTTATATAGTATATGTATGTAGTATGTGTCATTTATCTATGTATACGTACTAACATACATAGAAATAACCTTTTAATGCCTTTCTTGAGCTGAATCGACTTACTGATCACCATTGTACAGTATGCCTGAAAAATATCTATCTATCTATCTATCTATCTATCTATCTATCTATCTATCTATCTATCTAATGGTGTCAGTGGGCGTTCCCCAAACCGCCCAACACCTTTAACAAAACACTCGCTCCTATACACGCCGTTGATGACCTTAAAGGTTTAGAGTTTGACCTGGCATGGTAATGAATGACGGGTCAAGCGAGGTCAGGGCTTCGGACGTGACCTATGGCGGGAGGCGGGGTTCACCATCTACCTATTACACGAAGGATAAGCAACCAAGGTGTGTGTGTGTGTGTGTGTGTGTGTGTGTGTGTGTGTGTGTGTGTGTGTGTGTGTGTGTGTGTGTGTGTGTGTGTGTGTGTGTGTGTGTGTGTGTGTGTGTGTGTGTGTGTGTGTGTGTGTGTGTGTGTGTGTGTGTGTGTGTGTGTGTGTGTGTGTGTGTGTGTGTGTGTGTGTGTGTGTGTGTGTGTGTGTGTGTGTGTGTGTGTGTGTGTGTGTGTGTGTGTGTGTGTGTGTGTGTGTGTGTGTGTGTGTGTGTGTGTGTGTGTGTGTGTGTGTGTGTGTGTGTGTGTGTGTGTGTGTGTGTGTGTGTGTGTGTGTGTGTGTGTGTGTGTGTGTGTGTGTGTGTGTGTGTGTGTGTGTGTGTGTGTGTGTGTGTGTGTGTGTGTGTGTGTGTGTGTGTGTGTGTGTGGAGTGAGAGTGTGTGTGTGTGTGTGTGTGTGTGTGTGTGTGTGTGTGTGTGTGTGTGTGTGTGTGTGTGTGTGTGTGTGTGTGTGTGTGTGTGTGTGTGTGTGTGTGTGTGTGTGTGTGTGTGTGTGTGTGTGTGTGTGTGTGTGTGTGTGTGTGTGTGTGTGTGTGTGTGTGTGTGTGTGTGTGTGTGTGTGTGTGTGTGTGTGTGTGTGTGTGTGTGTGTGTGTGTGTGTGTGTGTGTGTGTGTGTGTGTGTGTGTGTGTGTGTGTGTGTGTGTGTGTGTGTGTGTGTGTGTGTGTGTGTGTGTGTGTGTGTGTGTGTGTGTGTGTGTGTGTGTGTGTGTGTGTGTGTGTGTGTGTGTGTGTGTGTGTGTGTGTGTGTGTGTGTGTGTGTGTGTGTGTGTGTGTGTGTGTGTGTGTGTGTGTGTGTGTGTGTGTGTGTGTGTGTGTGTGTGTGGTACGACGGAGAGGCGAAAGACTCTTAGAAACGAGTATTTTTTTTTATTGCTGTCTTGTTTATTTTTTATTTATTCCCTATATTATTTTTTTACGTCTTATATTTAGTTATTTACTGATTCCAATATGTTAATCTTTAGGTGGAATAAACTGTGGTGGTAATCCTAATTTCCTCTTATGTGTTGGAATCATTGTCTCGAGTTCTCTCTATGTATCTCACTTTTATCACCAATTATCCCTCTTAGTCTTTCACTCTCACGTCTCATTACTAATTAATATATGGATTAATGTCATTTTCTTATACTCAGTTTTCCTTCCTCTTCCGTTTCTCTTTATTGTTTTCTCCCTTATGCTAAACCTCCTTATCTTTGTCTTCTATTGTTCTCTAATACGTAGTGTCAATAAGGAGCATTTTGTCTTATAAAATAGTTTTGGACCATTAGCAAGAGAATATTTTGTTATTAATGATGTTAGAGTAAACTTTATAATAGTTTGTCCTTCATCATTTGTTCGTAAGATTTAAGTTAGGTCTCTACTGTCCTGTGACATAATAACGATGATGCCGGAACAATAGGCTGATAAAGTGATATACTGTAGAGATTGTTGAACGGTTAGGTCGAGACAACACAGACGATAAACAGATTATTATTAAACTCTATTTTGTCATCTGATTAATCATAGTTTATATCGTTATTTACTTTTTTAATATTCCAAAAGACATCTGGGAGTCGAGGGAGTTAGTGTGTGTGGGGCGCGGCAGGAGAGGTACATCCCCCCTAGAGAGCCATAACGACAACACTATCATCCCCGCCCACCACACAGCGCCTCCTGCCGGGGGTGAACCAGCCCTCATTTGTTTACAAACACCAGGTAATGAAGCTTCCCTCAGGTGTGCTCTAGGGAGTGGCTGGGTGTATGAGTCTCCAGTTGAGTGTATTGTTGAGACACTTTATCAACACCTTGACTTTTTCTGTTTATTTGTTCAGTTTTCTCTTTGCCTTAACAAAATCACATCTTTGGTTTAAAAACAAAAGCCACGAAAGGTTTTATTTTTGTAATTTACTAAAGACTTTCTGCTATTTAATTATATTTTTATGTAATCCGTAAAATAAATCACGTGTGTAATATGTAAAATAGATGAGTCGATGTTTTATTATGTACTGCAGGCAGAAAGGAAAGGAAATGCAGAAGGACACGAGTTATAGAGAAACAGAAGTAAAGGAGAAAGAAATGTAAGAATAATTTAAGAAAGAGAGCAAACAAACAGTAGAGGAGGAGGAAGAGGAGCAAAGTTAATTACAGGTGTGTCTGGTCTTGATTGTGTTGTGCTCCCTCACCTGTTGGGTACTCCACCCCCACATCCTCCCTCTTCCTTTTCACTTCCACTTTCTCATTTATCATCTTTAATCTCTCTTCCTGTCCCTGTCTTTTATTTTACTTTCTGTCTCAAAAATTCGTTGTTCATATTAATTGGACATTTTAAAAGAGCGCGTCCATTAAGAGGGTTTTAATTGTCTCATGAGCCTTTGAGCTGCCATTCCTGCGTCGTAACTCAAATAAATCATCTAAACACGAATACTCACTGCAAAATTTGGTCCATAAATCATCAAGAATCCTTTATTTGGTCCTCAAGAAGATCCACTCCCACTCCAGCCTATATCACCTGAAGATTAGTCACCCTGAGCGCTACCTGAGTCAACCAAAGGAAAAGTTTACTATACAACGTTTTGGGAATCCTGCCACAGGTGCGCCAGGTCACGTGCATAGATTCTCACCTCAGGATTTACGTGTAAGTATCACCGGCATCAGAATTATCCCCGGGAGCTGATAATCTCCGCCATTATACGAGGATTACTGAGAGTTTTGTCCGGATTTCTAATGTTTGTTATTCCGAGTGACTGTCTCGCCAGCTAGGTGTTGAAGGAACAACTGTCTGTCTCCCTTAGTTTGTTGGGTATAATTTTAAAGTAAATAATATTATCATGATAAGTTATATTATTATACAATGAATATTAAACCTTGTTCAAAATACCTGGCATGATAATGTTCCTCGAGTGGTATTAACTATGATGTGTGTAAAATTAGTCATTACCAATAGGCTATACCATTCTACCCCCAATTGAATTGAATTGAATTGAATTGAAACAGTTTATTTAGCCGAAAAAAACACAGATACAGAGTGGATAATAATAACAATATTAACATGGCTGAGCCAGTTGAGAACCTGAGCTGTTATTTTATAAATATAATTAAGGTATATACATAAATTATGTATGTTGTCTAGCTAATAAAACGTACATGTGCGTGATAACAGCGCTTTTCTTTGCATAAAATGGATATACTGTAATGAAATAGAAACACCTAACTTGTGAAATAGAGTGGAACCTAACACAATCTAACCAGATTTTAATTTATCCCATTCTAATCAAACATAACCTAACCTAATCTTACCTACCTAACATATCGAACCTAATCAATTTACTTGAAATCCATGTATTTTTATCATTTTTTGCTAATAATCTGTAACGTAAAATTCCTTTTGAAAAAAATTATTAAAATTGCATGTGACCTTTTCTTCTTATTAAAATTTATATAGCTAAGGTTATTTTCCTTAATATAACTCTCTTAAATTACTACATGATTATTATTCTAAACATAGTTAATGATAATAATGATAATAATAATATTATTATTATTATTATTATTTTTATTCGAATCTCGATCATTTTTCTTTGCAATCAATAATTCAGACAATTCTAAGACACTTTTCTTCTATGAATTTTACTCGCAAACGACCTACTGTATATTCTTATTATTATTACGGTATTAATACGCATATTATTATTATTATTATTATTATTATTATTATTATTATTATTATTATTATTATTATTATTATTATTATTATTATTATTATTATTACTAGTATTATTAAAATTAACCGTATCTTAATATTTTTCTTTTCAATCAACATTTCAAACAAATCTAAGTTACTTTTCTTCTCTGACTTTTCCCGCGCAAATGACCTATATTATTATTATTATTATTATTATTATTGTTATTGTTATTGTTATTGTTAGCCATTTAATTAAAGTGATACTCGGTTGGTCTCTTTAATACTACGATAAGATCTTTAATCTCATTCAAAATCATTTAACTTCTGCATTTAATCTCATTCAAAGTCTTTTAATCTCCGTATTTAAACTCTCTGGAGATCATTTAAGTCCCCCATTCATGAGACTGTTTGTTTACATCCATTTTCTGTTATGAAATAAAAGAAAATGAATCTTTTTGGGGATAGCTTGGCTATTTTGTATTATTGGTGCAAAATAAAAATTATATATAATTTAGTGTACTTTATTTTATTGTATGTTTTTCTTTACTAATGAATCTGTTATGATGAGATTTTTAATAGCAGTTTAATAAGTTATAATTGTTACATAATTAATAACGTAAAAATATACATAGCCCCGTCTCCTCCATCTTCAGGTTGTAAACACAGACTGTTGGGTATTGGCGGGACTGTGAGTGACTTTCCTTCTCCAAACTATAAATATAATCAAGCTAAGATGCCCAAAAGACCTTGTCCATTCGAGGAGTCATTGAGCCCACTGATGAAGGTCCACATAGGAGAGAAGGAGGTGGAGTGCGGGGTAATGAGGAGAGACAAGATGAAGGCAGTGTATGGTACGTTGTGTTGTCTGAATAATAGTTGGTTTGGCTTATTATTTTACCTGTACATTCTGGACTGATGTGAACGATAAGGATAACTTGGGTCACATGCAGAATAGTCCCCACAGCTTATTTCACCCGATTGCAATGTGAAAGAAATAAAATACGTGCCCTGTATAAAGTAAAGCAGTGAAAGTATAAAGCTGCCAGTGTACCGATATGTTGTATTGGCCAACCACATGTCATTTTGGATGAAAATTGTTCAAACTATCTTTTGAAACTGGCAAAACTAACCGGTAAAATTATCGTTTTGGGGATCCAGCGGTTTTTAATGTACAGATACAATCAGTAGTTTAGATGATTTCAAGACAGTTTTCTTCTATGGCATCTTGCACGCTCATGATTAATTTAAGAGAAAATCGAGAAAAAATCGAAAATTTTTGGGTTTTTCAAAGTTTTTTGAAGTTGAAATAATGTTTTTTCGAGACTTTTTTATGTTTTTTGAACGAACCTGACCTTCATTTCTACTGCTAATCCCCCCCAAGCCTCGCAAAACCTAACCTAACCCCTATGTAAAATAAGCATTACAGTTGTCCAGCAATTTTTGGATTTTAAGTTTTGGAATCAGTAGTGCCTACCTTAATTAGACTCAGAAGACTGGTCCCGTACCTTCTGGAGCCAATGATTAACAAATGAAATAATTTTTCCATGGCTCCAGATGTACACCGTATAAAAATGTTCCTTTTTAGTGTGACGCTTTATAATTACACTTCCATTTTTTTACTTCCAGATGGCAATTTTCCTTCCACAGTACCAAAGGTGTTTGTCAGCTTGATAGCTACAGGGCTGGTTACAGTTCATGCACTTAACCTCAATTTGCATCACACCATGTTCCTGGAGAAATTTCAATGTCTCGCAGTCCTTACTGTAAAACTCAACGTAAAATCTTGCGATGGCTTGGAAGTAATCTACTTCACAGCCATTGCACAAGGGAGACATCTTGGAAATAAATTCAAATTCAAGGGGTCGCAGCGGGAGGGCCTATACCAAGTTGTGATTGGTTGATCCAAAATCGTACCCACCAATGAATGTGTCAGATTCTTGCAAAGAACAACTGCACATGTGTCAGACTCTAGCAAATGCGTAATTCAACCTAATTACCAACACACGAACACACAAGAACTCTCCGGGACGGTGTTAACATCAACCATAAATGAAAAAAAAATTATTTTCCAAAAATGTGGTGCGAGTTTCTCTGAAAGTATTTATGTGCGGCCAAAATGCTACAGAAGAAAAGTGTCTTAGATTTGTCTGGACTACTAATTAAAAAAATACATATATTTAAGATCTCAGAATCCCCGAAACGATAAGAATACCAAACCAACCAACGGTTAGTACTGGTAAGTCACCTCTACCATGGTTTGTTAATAATTGAGACTTCGGTATTTTAGGGGTAAAACTTTGAAGGTAAACGTTTGTATCTTTATTTATAGAATTCCTTATTTCAGATCGAACATTAAACCTTTTGTATTGTGGAGCTAAAAATGTGACGAACAACAATGCTGTGGAGAAGATGGACACCAGTCCCACCAAACAGATGAATAACAGCAGCTGCCCCAACCTCCACCAGATGGTCCTCACCAGTAGTGGAACTCTAGTCAGGTCTCTCCCAACATCACAGGTCAGTCAACATGGGCTTATACTTTAACACATCTTGCCTAAAACCTAAATACTGTTATGTTGTAACTAGACAAATTAAAGGGAATAATATTAGGTGATAATGATGTGTTCTTGTACCCTGTATTGTCTATTTTGAAGTGGTCTAACTCCTATTGTATGGGTTCCCTTCTGAGTTGAATAAAATAGTCGGGCTTTAGCCAAATAAAATATTGCATGTGGTGTTCCCGTAGTGAAGGGGTTAAAGGAGTCCAGTCCAGGCTTTTTAGCAACAAAATTGGTGAAATAAACAAATCATAAGGTGAAATTTTAGGATAAGATTAAATTTGGCTTGAATGTGCCTTAACTTATATCTAACTTTATTGACTGTATAATGAAATCAGAAGGAAAGTATCAATTATGCTTCTTCAGCAAACTCCATCTTACCAAATTGAATTAAAAGAAATGGATGGTGCTGTATTGTACCTTTGGAATATCAGGATTGACCAAAATATTTGAATATGAAGGAACAAGGAAGACAGTGACCCAGTACTGTACAGTAGTGCCAGCTTCTCTGGTGACTACTATCACCCCTTGTAAGGGATGTTATCATACTTACCTTAATAATCTCCATGGGTGGGAAGGTAGGATATATTCCAGTGCATAGTGGACTCAGAGGGTTGAAGTAAATCTTTTCATAATACAGATGTAAGTGTCTTTTATGTTTGTGAAAATTTTACTGGTATACTTCAATTAAAATTTGTAAACAAAGTTTATTACCAGCTAGCTTCTTATTGTAAGAATGATTTTACCCCCACACAGAGAGTGACACCCCAGCCAGACACACCTAGTTCATGTGTCAGCTGTGGAGCTGTGTCGTCTGTTCCTCGGCCACCTTGTACTTACTGTGAGTGTAAGCTGTGTGACTCCTGCATGAGATCCTGTCATTTCTGTGGAGGAAATTTCTGTCCAAAATGTTCTCTGACTGTGTAAGTATAATGTTATTAACAGTATCTTAGTTTAATGATTATTCTGTGGCTTATCGTCACCCGTTTACTTAGTGAAGCAGTGGGCCATTGTAGACCATTATTAGCTCATATTTCAAATAAAATTAAGTACTGTTGTCATGAGGTTTGGTTAGGTTAGATCAGTAACATCATCAGGTTGTTGTTTGGTTCCCAACATCGCTTGACTTGAGTTTACAAGATTCTAGAGTGGTGGTACTGTACTGTATCTATATTCACTTAGGCATTTACCTTTTGTTTCACAGTGGTATTATGTACATTATCCATACTCAGTACTCTACAGGGTGTTCTGTGTGCATGGAACCAAACTGGGTAGGGTTAGTGTTAAGTACAGATAAGAAATAATAGAATTTATTAATTTACTCGTTTGAAAATGTTCTTATTTCCTAACCTAACGGATCCCTTTATATGGAACACCCTGTATTATTATTATGTTAGATATGATACACAGTACCCAGTTTTTATATCATTTTTTTTTCTTTCAGATATCTTCAAGAAGAAAAAAATGTATGTTTAAGTTGCTGTTAGACTGTATGTAAAAATGTTTAAATAGTATATGTAATTAGGTTTGATTTCTTGAATAACAGTGTAAGTTTAGTCCCACAGTTACAGTGATGTTTGGTACTGCAAGTTTTCTCCCTTTATTATCAACATGACCAGTGGTTGTTATTTTATGAGTCTCAAGTCTTTGCTTTCGTAGTGCAGTACAGATGATAATGGCTGCACATATACGGTGGCTTTTTTAGTGAACTGTACAGGTATACAGTTCCCCAATTTACAACTGTTTGATTTTAATACAGGTATCACTCACTATATAAACGTTCGAGATCCAAAAATTTGTTCATACAAATTTCCTAAATTACAATCTCCCTTTCATGTTATGAAAGCTTCCCCGCATATACTAATAGGGTCCTGGCAAAAATTCATATCATGCACCCCAAGGAGTTAATTTCTTGTGCATCTCCTAAATTATAATGAAAATCAATGCATAAATACACCTTGATTTACAATTATTCAGTTCATGACAAGGTTTTCAGGAACACAGGCTTATTGTAAATACAGGCCTGCCTGTACTGTATTGGATGTGACCAGACACATGTCTTATTGATGTCAAATCTGCTTAATTAACATAAGCATGATAATGAAACCTCCTATGCAGTTTTACTATTTTAATTGATTGTAATACTGTACTGTACTGTACTGCATAGTCTTCCTCTGCATTATTGAACAAAGTGGTTACATAGCATGTAACTTTTTTAATTGTACTGTATTGCATAAATTCCTTCATTTTGGGTCATTGTCAATCATGCCTTACAGGATTTTGGGATGTTCAGGTTTCATTAAACTTTGATTATAGATGATGCCATGTTTTATAATGAATCTGACCTTTTACATACTGTACTATAATTTATGGTAACCTTGCCAGATATTTTTCCTAAGATTATATGACATTAGTGAACTTGGATATAATACTGGATACAGTCAGTTCAGTCAATTTTTGCTAATATTATAGGGTTATCAAAATAATTTACTAAATCATAAAAATTTATTAAAAATCAGTATGAATTATTGTTCATAATAAAAACAAATATATTTCACTGGCCTCACGTAGAGATGATCTCAGTCAGGTCTCTGTAGTGAGTTATGGTCCTCTAAAAACTTGAATATTACTGGCCTCACATGACCTGAATCTGTCCTCTGTATTCTTAAACAAGCTGCTGCACCAGTTTGTTTGACGTCATGCTAAGTGGGTCTACTATGAGTGACCCTACCATATTAAAATGACAATAATCACAGGTCACTTGCTTGTTTAACTCAATAGTCTACATCATAGACAAGTACCCCAAGTTACCTAATACCTTGTACACAAAAGTTCAAATTGTTTAGTCTATAATAAAAATACAGTAATCAGAGCAGACACTTGTTACATTTGGGCACAAAACACAAGACAATAAATTTACTTGTACAAAATTCTCCTTGCTTATAATGAATGATATTGTAGAAGAATCTGAATATTCTTTAAGTAACACGTATGCCTATGTATTAGAAAATGGATATTCTTTTAAGTAAGAAAGGTGTATTCAAATTTTGGTAAAGTCTAACTAACCAACAGAAGAATCCAGGATCTGACGAATCTCAAAATGAACACTGTGGCTCCTGTTGTCTCGGTAGGGTTGTCAATATCCTTCGTCCGTTGTGTCGCATTGTCTCACACAATATCGTAAAGATACTTTTTGGAATGAGTGTACATCATTACACTTGACAGGAGAAACCAGGACCTTTCATGGTTCAGTAAAGACGAGAGTACACCACACACAGTTTAAACTACAATATATACTGTATATGACTAAAGTTTGTACAAGTTAAGCACCTCTGAACTTTTAAAATAGTTCACCAACTTAATGCTATAACTGCATCCCACAGAGTAGCTTAAAGCATAAAGGAAATACCACATAATATAGCATTCACAAAACATCACACACAACTAACAAAATATGCTACTGGTAACAGCAAAGTATTTTTGACAATAATAATCTGAATATGTTTAAGCTTAGCTGCAAACAGTCCAAAGTTTTAGCAGTAAATGTATGTAATACATGACTCATCATTTAATCATTTAATTGAATTTAATCTAATAAATGTATTTAAAGTTTGAATATCAGTGATGACATAAGAAAAAACAAGCAGTTTTTGTCATCCACTGTGTTAAGAAGCACTGCAAATATATTACACCAAGTGACACCAACCTACACACAAAAATAAAAAAACAGTTTAACAATACAGTTTTGGTGCTCACAGACATTCTCATTAGGCGAGTGTACAGTACTAGGAAAGAGAACACCCTGCTGAGGAGATACACCCATACCAGTTGACAGTAGAAGTGTATTGTTGAAGTAGAAATCTCTAGGTTATGAAGAGAGTTTGGTGGAATAACCTGATACTGTACTCACTTATTTCACCGTAAGATTAACCACCCTGATGCTGACCTAAGTTAACCCCCAACCCAAGGTAGCATTAAGGTGTGTAATCATCAGGTGAAATAAGCTGGAGGAACCAATCTTATGATCTTATCTCTGTTCCTCTATAAAAGTTCACAGCACAGCTGATTGTTCCAACTATACAATATAAAAATATATCTACTTTATATAATTTCATCATCAATAATACTGTAGCTACATCTGCAACCAAATTTCAACATGATAAATTTTCTAACTACAGGAAATATTACGGAATATATATTTGTACAGTAGATGATACATTGGTCCCATTCATCATTGTGTTTAATATGCCTGTACAAGTAATTTATGTTTATATAAAAAATGGTTATTATAAAATTAAAAACCTACGGCCATATTGATTAAAAAGTTATTTTGGCAGTAATGTACTTCACTGTAGTTCCTTGTTTTAAAGACAGTCAAGCATACTTTTTAATAAATTTCTTACAAACTATAAACATCAAAGAAATATGTAAAACTAAGGCAGAATAGATGACTACCTGTGAAGCATTATTTTGAAACCAGGTGCTCCACAGTCCAAGGGCTATTGTTATCATGCCCGCAGAAAAAACCACCATGCCAAACAGTCCGTGATTGGCCTTTACCGTCCTTGCTTGCATGACTCGGCTCAGTATTCTGGGATACTTGGCAAATACTCCAACACTCAGCTGTGCCCAGAGTAACACCGACGTGACGAGTCCTACGCTACCGTGCCACGATGTAAAATGAGGCTTATTATTGAGCTCCTTGTTAATGTAGATAGATGCAAAACCGAGGGAGTGAGCCACAGCAACCAGCAACAACACAAACCAATGAGCCGTTATCTTGGTGCTGTGACGTCTTCCTGCCGCCAGACTGGCCTCGGAGAACATGAACACGGCTTCCGTCATCAGACCTGTGAACTGAACAGTGCCATTTTTTTATGCAGATAAATAAGATAGTACCCTGTTAATAAATCATGGAAGAAAAGTGAAGAAAACTAATTGAGAAGCTTGATACATTATTTCCCTGTATTATCCTGAGAATTAATTTATCATATACAGTAAATACATTCGATCTATAAAAAATTCACACATGTATATTAAACTCCCACTGTATTCCAACCACTTACAATATCAGTCACGTATATAATTATCACTCTTGGATTATTCATACACCAAGAATATTAAAACATTCATATCCAATTTACTGCACTAAAATTACCCTAAAATACCAATAGAACACCAACTTCTACTCCAAGACATCAAAATACAAGAAAACTAAATAGCAAGATAGTTTAATCACCATGACTTTAAAGGGCTTGAGTGACCTTTAAATATAAGTGTACAATACAGACAAACTCACAGCCACTGTCATGAAGAATGGATGATAAGAAAACAAGGATGACCCAAGTTTTGTTAAATATCCCACATAAATTGGGAAAATAGCCCCGGTTGCCCGTATTAAGTAGAGCAACATGGTTATTGCAGTGGTTGATGACGGAGAGTTTGTTGACATTGACGCAACACTGGGGGCTACGGCTGTCTTGTTGTTATGGGATACGAGATTAAATAAATATATATTTTTTTATAGTTGATATATTATTAATTAGTAACCAAATTTAAATAAATATACATAATTAAGTTTTATTTTTATATAAATGGTGTATAAAACTTGGTTGATAAATACGATCAGTTTCTTAAAATTCATGTTTGCAAAAAGAAAATGGTAATGAATGTGTATGTTGAAATCTGTAACTGCTAGGTTTAAATTTGTTGTTATAAAATATGGTAAAAAAGCTTAAATCTTGAAGAAAGTAATATATATATCCATTACTAGTATGATGATTAGTGGTGAAGAGGGCAAGTCAAATAATAGAAGCATACAATATTTAAATTGTATTATTCAATTATTATTATTATTATTATTATTGTAAATTTAAATTTATGAACAAATTAGGAATTAAATTAAAGAAATTAGTTCATATTGAGCCGAAGTGTGTAAAAATTTAGTGTAATAGTGAACGCATCTTCTCAAATGTAAATAAACATGTCGGTGGACGGGGTGAGCAGCGTGCAGGGCTTTAAAGGTATTATCACATATATTTAGTGTTCCCAGATTCTTTGTGTTATTTGTTTCTTACTTATCGGTGAATATATACAGTACATTACAACTACAGTGGGATATATGAGCATTCCACCATGACACAGAGCAGTACAGTGTTTCACCAGGTACCCTACTTCCTCTGATGCACTGCAGGGTGTGTAAGGTACGTCCTCTTACTGTAAGTGGTAATTACACATTGTCTTGTCTTACAGTTGTGGGACTCAAGTTCAAGGAGGAGAGTAAAGGGATCCACCAGTTGTTATGGAAACAGCACTCAGTACGCACGTTCAATGCTGCTAAACCTGTTGAACGTACACTTTTTGTGGTGAATGTCCCGCCGTACTGCACGAAGGTAAGTTTAGGTTTAAGAATTCACTGAAGTGAGTAGAGTGTCGAAATTTTCATGGTGATTTGGGGCGTTGTCAGGGAGGAGTAGTACTGAGGACTTGAAGTGTTTTCCTCACAATACTGCTACACCAGAGGACAGACACTTGACACAAACCACTGTTGATAGTTGTTAAAGGTAACCCATGCCTTCCTGTTTGGCTTCCAAAAAACAGGAATTTGCTCCTTTGAGAAGTCATCATCAGGCAGTGCTGTAGGTACTCCATTGTAGAAAATGCTCATTATTTAAACATATTCAATGAAATGTTTCTTTTGATTTTATAAGATGGTATATTTCACAAATTTTTTGCAAATGAATGACATTAAATATATGTATGTTTTTTATATTCTTCTTAAATATTATCCTCTAGTAATAATTGCTTAAAAATGTCCTTTTTGTAAAGTTTATAATAATAATATGCATTTATGTCTGTTTGTTAGAATTGGACACTTATTAATTAACGTTAATTCACGTTAGCTACACTTTATTGTTTATAGTTTGTATTGTGTTACTGCTTGTTGTCCCATGTCTGCTCACTAATTATTTATGCTATATTTATACTTTATTATATAATTTAAGTATTATCCACATAAAACAGGGAAGCATCTATATGAAATTAATATTATTATGGTCATTTTGAACTTTATCTACAGGAAGCCTTCAAGAGGTTGTTCTCAGTGTATGGGAAGGTCGTGGATGTATTTTTCCATAAGAAGCCATCATCAGGACCTCCCCAGGTGGCCAAATACCCGCACTTCTCCCTCATACCGCCCATCCAGGTCAGTACGTGCTGTTGGTTATGGTAGTTCTGGGATTGGCTGGATTGTGGCTGTTGTATCAGTGTAGGATTTTAAAGTTGGAGTGTTTGCTGGTGTAAAAGTGGAGTGTTGATAGATCTTTCTTAGCTGAATAAACATTTAAATATTTGGTTGTATTTATATTAATAGTACAGTGCCTGGTTATAGTAATGTTGAGGATAGTGAAGTGGAGTGTTTTACCTAGATGGTATCCAGACCTTTGATGAATGTTTACTTATTTTACCTCACAAAGTCACCCATTCAAGCATTAAGGTGTTTAATCATCAGGTGAATAAGCTGGGGTTCCTAGTCTTCATGAGGTACAGAAGAGATTAACCACAGTATCTCTATGTGTTTGGGGTTGAATACAAGTATAGCTTCAGTTATCAATTTCCTCTCAGTGAATACGTATATTACAGTGTGTGATATTCTCCTCAGGGTTTCAAAGTGGCTTATGTGGTATTTTCACATCCTTCTGCTATCAAGAAAACGCTATCTGTCCCTCCCTCCACAGTACTGGTGTTGTCAACGAAGGAACATCCTGTCTTAACTGGAGTGCAGAGTAAGGAGTATATATCATTTTCTGTTCAGGGGTAATTCTCATATTGTAAATAGGATGGCACAAGGGAGAAGTACTGTACCTTCATTTATCTCTTGTAGTCGCCCATAACTTCATCATGATCTTTTATACCTGTTGGGAGGTGCTTCTTTAACTTTTACATATCTATTGCCTTCATTTCAGTAAATGTAAATATCTATAATACTGTTTTAATTAATACTGTAATACTATTTTTACATGTCATTGACTAGAATTTTTTTCCCCGCACAACTCAGCCTTACCCATCAGCAGCACATTTATCCCTTAGTAAACCGAATAAAAAAGTGTTGACAACTTTAGCTTAAATTCTAATACCTGTACACACTTATTGTTGGTAAATTGTTTCAGCCTTCCAGGTTAACTATGTAGAATATAATTACACCTTCCTGATGATTCTAATGTGTTTAGATCATGTATTATATGGGTCCAGGGAAGCCAAATTGCCACTGTCCATCTCTCTCTCTCTCTCTTTCTCTCCAACTGTATTTAATTTAATTCTTTAAAACTTTCAACTGTAAAAATAGAATAGTTTTTCCATGCATTAAGATTTACTTAAACTTAGTTTTTGTCTTTAAGCATGTAGGTTGAGTTTGGGTGACTGATCTTATCTTGTGTTTTTCAAATTTGGCCTTTGTACAGTAATTTTTTGAGGTGGAAAAGACAAAAGAGTATAAATGATTGCTAGATCATCCTGAATATAATGTTTATAAAATAATAGCATATTAAAAAGTTATAAAATGGGTAACAAATATTTAAAACTTATTAAAACCACCAGAATAGCATTAAATAAAAAATACAATGTATTTTAACAATGGTTTTTGCCAATGTTGCCAGAGTGTATAGAACTTTAAATAAATAAAGCTTAAAGAGTACAGTACAGTATATGTTTTTCTAATCAAAATATATAATTTTCCCAGAATGGCATCAAGAGTACAATGAACAGTTTGTCAAAAATGCAAAACTAAGTGAAGAAATCAAAGCTCTAATTGAGGAATATGATAAGAAGCGCGCAGAAGAGCGAGCGGCGGCCCAACAGGAGCCAGATGACGAGGGCTGGGTCACAGTTACATCAGTGTGAGTATTTGGTCTACCACTCCGGTCTCTGTCTGAAGCTACAACACATGACTGTTTTATAAATATAGTTACCAGTATTAGTTGGGCTACCAATATAATTCTGCTCTCATTGGCTCTGAGTAGCCCTTGTACTGTACAGTGTTCTTGGTGAGCCATAAACTAATTCTCTCTTCTCTCATTTATTATTTTTTTCTCTGGCTATATTGATGCAGAGGTTCACCTCATATTCCGTATTATACTTTAATGACCTCTAGTTCACTTCATGTCTTATTACATCTGTTGGCCTCAATATCACTTAATGGTACATAACCAGAAATATATCACTGGGAGAAGCTTATAATGGTGACTAACGGTAGCTAATGCTGAAGGTACTGATGCAGGCTTTTAACATGACCATTTTAAGCATGGCTTCCCAGAGTCAGTATTATGGGGAGGGAACCCAACAGTCTAAATGTGAAAGGAATACAGTACAGCACTTGGGGTAGGAAACATAGATAATCTCTCTTTCTCTCTCTTTCACACTTTTGTTTTATGACAATTTCAGGAAGAAGAAGAAGCCTCAGTTGGAGAAGGTCGATGAACTCAAAAAGAAAAAGAAGAAAAAGAAGAAGCATCAATTAGTGAACTTCTACACCTTCCAACACAGACAAGCCAAGATGGACCGTGAGTATCTAGAAGTTGTTGTTTTCTTGTTTGTGTTGCCCCACGTGTAACAAGGATGGCTGGCCCAAGGGCCACCTTGGCGTGAATTTGTTTAAGGTGTAGAAGCTGTCGCCATCACAACGACCACACCCTAAGTTAACGAGTTGCATGACCCAGTGTCAAGGAATAGTCCGAGAAGACCGGACAACTCGCCAACTGCACTAGCTAACCATTACCTCGGAATACGATCCGCAAATCGATTGAGATCCGGGTTCCCAATTACTGCTGGAAAGACAGAGGCAAATGGCATAAAGAAACTTGCCCATAGTTTCACCCTGCCCGGGGATCGAACCAGGGTCTGCTCGCTTGCAAGGCGAGCATGCTGACCATTACACCACAGGGCGCCATTTTCTGACCATTACACCACAGGTCGCCATATACTGTAGGTCATAACAAAGTAACAAAAACCAGACCAACCACCTAAATGGCTGGTAAGTTGATAAATGGTGAAATGATAATACAGTATGGGCAATTTTGCTTTATTTTTCTCTGTACCGGTATCTTAAAAAAAAATTAACTTGTATTCATAGTATTAGAATGCATCAGTCATCCTTACATGTCAGTCAATATTCTATTGATGTAAACAAACGACTGTATTCATTCAAAATCAATTTAATTTATGCTGTAGAATAATGGAAGATACTGTACCACTATACAATAACACTTACTAATATTAATCCTTCATATTTTCTAGATCTGGCACAGCTCCGTAAGAAGTTCGAAGAGGACAAGAAGAGAATAACCCTAATGAAGGCTTCAAGAAAATTCCGACCGTATTGACAAGCCCATCGGAAGGTGATCATGTCCCAATATGATAAACAGGATATGTCTTGCCCTCATATTAAAAACAGATTGGTATGTTACAGGAGTTGAAATAGAGTGTTTGATTTTCCCATAGTAATTCAATCCTTGTTAAGTGGATTCTTCATATTCAGACTATTAGAATTTGTGTTGTACAGGTGCCCAAATTGCCTCATCCCCCCCCCACCCCACCCCACCCCACCCATGTAATCCTTCAAATGTTTTAGAAAATGTGTCACAAGTCGTAGCACAAAACAATACCGTGAGGAGAATGATGGTGCACATACATAGGTCCCAGTGGTTGTAAAGGGTGATATGATGTCCTTGTGGTTCCAATGGGAGGTTTTGGGGTCCCAGGTGATTCCTAAGAGATCCCAGGGACTAATAGAGAGTCTTAAGGGTCCCAGGGGGTACTTTTCTCCTCCTCTCTTAATGATCCTATGAGTAGCAGCTACAGCTAGTTCCTTTACTCTATGTTCTATACTTATAAATATTGACTCAAAGATGGACAGTACAGCAGTAAGCATAACAAGTTAATGTGGCATAGAAATTATACATATAAGATGAGTACAGGTAAAATATGGTACTTATTATAGGCTTTCTAGGTCATATCACCCCTAAGGAGCAAAGAGGTTAATGAGAGAAAATTTGAACTAGGTAACGGGTATAAATTGTCAAGATTAATAGATACAGAGTATTGTATTCAATACTGTAAGCCCAAAAATTCATTCCAGAATTACTTTTGGGAAAAGGTGAGGGAGGGAGAATGGCCAGGCAATGTGGTTAGTTATCCGAGCCTGGCTGGACAGTGGCACCTCTCGGTTAAATCCGCCTCCTTCCCACAATGTCTCCTCATTCACAAAGCTTATGTACAGTACATAAATTTGGTCTTAAATGGTTTCATTAAAGTGAATGCACTTAGCATAGCTTCATCTACAATTCTGACGACATTTCTTACGTACAAGCGCCCCTCCACTGCCCAACGTACGAGCGCCCCTCCACTGCCCAACGTACGAGCGCCCCTCCACTGCCCAACGTACGAGCGCCCCTCCACTGCCCAACGTACGAGCGCCCCTCCACTGCCCAACGTTCCTTCTTCCCAACCCTTCTCACAAAGCAAGTCACTCATTTTCATTCTTACATTCAGTGGTTTTTAGGATAGCCATACGCAGACATGGGTAACTTAACTGGGGAGGCTGAATTAACATGTTACATCTTGCTCAAGGTTGGTTCTGTCACTTCCTCTATGTTGGCCTTCAAGTACATCATCTGTCACCTGCAATATATTTCGAGTTATTTATGTAGAATGAAGGTTAAACATACAATATCCTTCTACTATAAGGCCACCTGTACTTAGACTCCAACTGTACACAAGTTATCATTAAAAATTTACAAGTCTCAATTTTGTCAAACTTTAAAAACATCTTTGTGTTCATGATCAGTAAACGTAAGTGGATCATAAAATAGTTTGAATTAATGTTCTTTAAATATATTAGATAAAAGGGGGTTTGTTTAATAGATAGCTTAATACTGATTTGGTTGTCTAAGTTAGTTATATTTAATATAAGTTAGGATGGTTAGGTTAGTAAAGTTAGTTGACACCCACCCACAACAACTTGCTTGCTTTACTGGCTATATTTACTACTATACTACTACTAATTTCTCTAATAACCAATAGGCATGTAGTCCTGTATATTTATACTGTCACTACAACTAATATTAATTTTACTCTATTGTCAGTCTATACAGTCAGTTCACACAATTCTTCAGAGCCCTCCCACACACACAGTCCTCCAGAGCCCTCCCACACACACAGCCCTCCACTGCCCAGTGTAGGAGCACAGCGGTTTTTTTTTTTAGGACCATAATAGCTTAGATAAACAAGTAACTTAACTGATGAGGCTGAAGTAACGTGCTGCTTGTTAAATCTTGCTCAAGGTTCTGTCACTTCTCCATTGGCCTTCACGTACATCAGCTGTCACCTGCAATGTGTTTAAAGTTGTAATTAATGTATATTGTAATTAATGTAGAATAGACATAACACAATTTCCATGTACAATTAGGCCACATGTACAGTACTTCAGCTGTCCCTAACTGTACACAAGTTATCAAATATTAATAATTGACAAACATCTCAATTTTACCTAACTTGAAAATTAACTTTTTGTATTCGTGATCAGTAAAAGTAAGTGGCTCATAAAATACTTTGAATTAATGTTCTTTAAATATATTAGATAAAATATATATTTTGGATAATAGATAGCTTAATGATTTGGTTCAGTCTGGGTTAGTTATGTTTAATCTAAGTTAGGATGGTTAGGTTAGTTGAAACCCACAACAACTTGCTTTACTTGCTATATTTATTATTATACTACTACTAATTTTCTCTAATAGGCACGTAGTCCTGTATATTTATACTGTACTGTCTAATAATTACATCCTTGTCAGTCTTGCAGACAGTCCCTAATCCTCCAGAGCCTTCCACAGGCCTCCATCACACACTCTCCCTTTCAGCCTCACCATGCACTGCAATGTTGAGTGGTTTATGGGATGACCATAATAGCTAAGATATACAAGTAACTTAACTGATGAGGCTGAAGTAACGTGCTGCTTGTTAAATCTTGCTCAAGGTTCTGTCACTTCTCCATTGGCCTTCGAGTACATCAGCTGTCACCTGCAACATGTTTATAGTAATTAATGTATATTGTAATGACTGTAGAATAGACATTAAACATACACTTTCCATGTACAATTAGGCCAGATGTACAGTACTTTAGTTGTCCCGAACTGTGCACGAGTTTTAAAAGTTTATTAATTTAGAAAAGTCAATTTCATCTAACTAGAAAATTAACTGTATTCATGATCAGTAAACGTAAATGGGTCATAAAATAGTTTGAATTAATTTTCTTTAAATATATTAGATAAAATGTTTTTTTTTTATAATAGATAACGTAATACTGATTTGGTTCAGCCTAGGTTAGTTATGTTTAAAATAAGTTAGGATGGTTAGGTTAGGATGGTTAGGTTAGTGAAGTTAGTTGACACCCACCCACAACAACTTGCTTTACTTGCTATAGTTACTACCATACTACTACTGCTAATTTTCTCTAGTAACTAATAGGCATGTAGTCCTGTATATTTATACGGTCACTACAACTAATATTGATTTACTCTTAATATCAGTCTATACAGTCAGTCCACACAGTCCTCCAGAGCCCTCCATATCTCTCTCTCTCTCTCTCTCTCTCTCTCTCTCTCTCTCTCTCACACACACACAGCCCTCCATCACACACCCCCCCCTTCAACACACACAGCCCTCCATTGCCCAGTGTAGGAGCACAGTGTTGAGTGGTTTATGGGATGACCATAATAGCTAAGATATACAAGTAACTTAACTGATGAGGCTGAAGTAACGTGCTGCTTGTTAAATCTTGCTCAAGGTTCTATCACTTCTCCTTTGGCCTTCGAGTACATCAGCTGTCACCTGCAACATGTTTAAAGTTTTTATTCATGTAGAATGAATGTTAAACATACAAAACCCATTTACCACATGTACTTAAACTGTGTCCAACTGTACACAGGTTATCACTTGTTAATAATTTACGCAAGTCGCATTTTTATCTAACTTAAAAATTAATTTTCTGTTATCATGATCAGTTAACAGGAGTGGCTTTTGAAATACATTGAATTTGTTATTGAATAAAATTTGTATTTAATATATTTTCTGTACAAAATATAACTTAAGACAGATTTGGTTCAGTTTAGGTTAGTTGTATTTAATCAAAGTTAGGCTGGTTAAGTTAGGTTAGTAAAGTTAGTTGAAACCCAACCACAACAACTTGCTTTACTGGTTACATTTACAACTACACTACTACTAATTTTCTCCAACCAATAGGCATGTAGCCCTGTATATTTATACGTAATGTCACTACAACTAATAATTTTACTACAAGATCAGTCTCTGCAGTCAGTCCACACACAGTCCTCCAGAGCCCCCCATCACACAGTCAGCCAGGCCCCACACACACACACACCCTCCACTGCCCAGTGAAGGAGCAGTGTTAGATGTTTTTTTATGACCATAATAGCTAAAATAAACAAGTACCTTAACTGATGAGGCTGAAGTAACGTGCTGCTTGTTAAATCTTGCTCGAGGTTTTGTCACTTCTTCATTGGCCTTCAAGTACATCAGGTGTCACCTGCAACATGTTTTAAGTTGTAATATATGTAGAATGAAAATTAAACTTACAACTTCCATCTACCACTAGACCACATGTACTTAGAGTGTCCCCAACTGTTCACATAATTCATTACCTCCACATTAGTTTACTCAAATCACTTCTCACCATCACCAATATAGTAATGCTACACTATACTATACTGTACTACACATCCCCACACTGCTTCATGCACTATACACAAGGTTTACTACAGCTCATTTGCTAGACCTTCCCTCCCTCCCTCATGCCCCCTTAAAGTGTCCCCCTAGACAGCTTCACCACAACCACCTGCCCACCTCGTGTACAATTCCTTCACATGGTAGCACAACCCTGTCCCATACACCACCAAAGTTCCCCCCCAACAGTATAACACCCCACACCCTCTCACAAAACGTTAAATGACTCTACAACAAGCCACACCCCCTCACAAAACACTAAACGATACCACAGGAAGCCACACCCACCCACACCCCCTTACAAAACATTAAATGACACCATCGCAGTATAGGTACTCCTGAACATGCTGATTAAGGATCTGTTAACCAAAATTTGATATCTGCAATATTACTTATTCAAATGACTTGCAAAATTAATTACAATTTTCTAAAAGCCATTTGAACAAGTAATAATCCAGATATCAAATTTTGGTTAACAGATCCTTAAACAGTGTATTCAGGAGTACCTTTCCTGAGATTTTGACCAAAATCTATTTTGTGGCCAAAAACCCTGTAAGGGGTAAGCCTTACAATTTTTGGCATTTCGGCCGAAAATAGATTTTGATCAAAATCGCAGTATAGGTACTACTGAACATGCTGATTAAGGATCTGTTAACCAAAATTTGATATATGGATTAT